ATTTTAAAATAATTCTTAGGTATCACATTAGTGTTAAAGTGACCTTTAGTTATAATCAAAATATGAAGTATATTTGAGGTTTTGAACTGTTAAAATTTGCTCTCCTCATTTTATGTAAAAACAATATTAACTTAGTCAAAGATTCTCAGGAAAATAGAGGTCCTCCATTAAGAACAGTGGGCCTGATTACTTTAAGCCTAATTAATTGCTTAGATTAACATTCACCTGACAATGTAGAATGTAATATTTTAAAACTTGTATTTCTGTTATGTTCTTATTGGATTAGCAATATACAGAAAGGATTAGTAATATACAGAAATCCCTTTATCTCAATTATTTTTCTTTTCCTCACTTCTACCAAACCTTGAATCTTCCCAAACTGTAGCATTAACATTTTATCATTTCCCCTCAAATTTATCTGTTATCTCCACAGGTGAAGTATAAAAGATGAAAATTAAACTGAAATTAACCATAACCAAAACATGATTTCACCATAACTCAGTACATAGTCTCTGATGAATGGAAATCTTTTGTCTTAATATCCAAGAATGAAAGTAAATTACATGGAAAAACTGCCAATAAAGAAAAGGGGAAATGAATGAGTTAATTGCAACTAGAGGGCAAATGATCAATCTAGGAATATTTCTGTGTTCTTTAATTATGGTGCACTCTTGTGATGCCAGTATTCAGTTATTAAATTCAAGCTACTACTGTTTGACAAAAGGTATGTCCCAGGGCATAATAGAATGCAAGCACTTGTTGTACAAATAATACTAATTAGAATTTTTGTTGAATATTGAATTGGTGACTAAAATTTGGTTTTGATGTTTTATTTATATTCTACATGTGCCCAGCTGTATTTGGATGTTTCATTTTATAAAGAATTATTTTTCTATTTTTTTATCTTTTTGTATCCTTCCAATAATTCTGTTAGAAAACCATTTTTCCCTCTTTTTGTAAAGCAGAAAATTGAGAGTTAGTGAAGTTAAGTGACTATCTGACACCAAACTGGTGCATATCAGAACTGACACACATATAAGATTTTCTGGCTCTTTTTCCTGTATGATGATCAGGCTAAAAGAAATACTATGTATGTATGTTGTATACTACCAACATTCATTGAATGCTAATTAAGTACTGAATGCTAATTGTATACCACATTGCTCAAGGTGTTGAGGCTAATAACAGCAGGATCTCTTACCACATATAGATAACTTCCATTAACATTTTTGTTGAGTTAGTATGTTCTTCAGTAAAGAATTTTCTCTTTTTGTTAAGCTTATGAAGGTAAAATAAATGTCATCCTCTCTGAAAAGTGTGAAGAATCAAATTCCCTCCCAGATTGCTTTTATTAGGTACCCGTGGGTAGGTTAGGAAATGTCAGTCAATGCTAGGAACTAGCCTAAAAAAAAAAAAAAAAAAAAAAGCTCCTAAGTCCAATAAGCATTAAAACCTAAGTACAGTTTTCTGCCATTTGCTAGATTTTGCACAATTTTAGCCAGAAATACTGTTGTGCTCTTCTTTGTGCATACATGACATCAACTAGTGAATTTTTCCAAGTGCCACTTTTTAATGAGTTATTTACTAAATGAAGAGGAAGGACATTTACCTTTTTTTGAGTTGTTTGGCATATGAACTCCTAGTAGTTTTTCACAAGGAGCAATTAGTATATACTTTGAAATGACTTTTTTATCCTTTGGAAACAACTTATTTTTGAACTAGTAATGGGAATTTTTTTTTATCCTCCAAATTTTGATTTTATAAATGCAATTTCACACTCTGATTAAGGTTACTAAAATTATGGAGTGGAAAATATTTACTTTTAACCAAATGTTTTTGGAAACCTTTCTCTCAGTCTAAGCACAAATTCTCTGAAGCATAAATAACCTGATAAACTGCATACAAGAAGTGTGATTCTATTTATAATTTTGTATGGCGGTACTATCAAAATTCTAAACTTGAGACCACCAAAGTGAGGTCCTTGCTGAAAAGACCTATCGGTTCCTGCTGCCTTCCCATTGCCTTCGATATCCAGATGCTAATATAGTGGCTTTGAGGAAAAGCAATTGTAACATTTGTATAAAATACAATTCTGGGATCATGGAATTCAATATGGATTAAATCCTACCCCCTACTTTTAGAGACTATATTTAATATTTCTTCTGTGATGCTTGAGTAAAAGAGTACACTAGGGGAATCTAGTCTTTTGATAACCACTCATATATTCAAGAACACATCCACACACACTACAGATATCTGTCCGTAGAAAGACAGATAGATATAAGAACCAGTTCAAAAAGTTTCACAGTAAAACCTGTGATCAGATCATTTCCCTGCCTGATCCCTTAAATCTCCCATGTGCCCTTGACCCTGTTGAAATATGTCTCAATTTAGCTCATTCTTGAGCTTTGTTAATACAAAATTTTTAATGTAGTAGGAACTTTCATGTTTCTTATTTTTAAAAATGATAACAATTGGGGCTCCCTGGTGGTGCAAGGGTTAAGTCTCAGCACTATGAAGCTTTCAGCAGCCACTGCAGCATGAGTTCGATCCCCAGCCAGGGAGCTACCCAAATGATGCAGCAAACCTCTCCTGTCTCGCCAGCTGCTCCCCTCAGCAGTGTATTTCAGTCAGTCTGCCTGTTCTGCTCCCCACTCTGTCTCTGGTGAATCCTCTCATCACCAGACCCACCCCCACCACTAGCCTACATCCCAGCTCTTGTATGCATAATTACAATAAATCTTCAAAAATTATAGTAATTTATCAATCTATTATATACGAAAATAAGCAGTGAGGAAAGTGGCTATGTGAGAAACAAGAGACTAACGTTAATTATCACAAAAGACTCAGTACAGTCTTATGTCTGAAGACATTTGCCCATCAACCGTTGAAAGATGGATATAAGAACCAGTTCAAAAAGTTTCACAGTAAAACCTGTGATCAGATCATTTTCCTGCCTGATCCCTTAAATCTCCCATGTGCCCTTGACCCTGTTGAAATATGTCTTGAGACTTCCCCTTGGCCATGGACTCAAATCATGATTCCTAGTCTTACATAGCCACATTCCTGATTGTGCTACAGCGTGATTATTTTTCTCTTAGGTGACCGCTCTCAAAAATTCTTTGAATGAATACCTATGAATCAGATTCCTTAGACAAATCTATGTGATGGAAGAAAAAAAGTTTTTTGAGCATTTTTGCCTGCTCCATAGGGTACTGATATATATTGAGACATATTTGTAATTACATTTTTGAAAAAAAGCTTTCAGCTTATGTCATGATCATTCTCATTGGATTCTAAATGATTTTGTTTTTGTGGTATTTTCCTGTCCCATTAAGATTGATGTGAAGTATTGTGGGATGTTTTTTGATAAACAGCGTAAATTAAGTTAACTGAGTGCTTCAGTAATAAGCATGAAAATTTGCTTTGTAGTGTAGTCACTTTATCAAAGGTTTACCACAATCCATTAGGAAAAATTGTTCCTGCCTCACTATCCATGGAAGGTACTTCAACCATGATCTTAAATTTATACAGATTTGCACGTTTTTTAGGTCATTTGATTCATTAAGTATTTCTTTTGAAATTCCACTCCTTCAGTAAATCAGTTTCCTCTTCCCCTGAGTTTTTAATTTTCAACACATTCTGTTATATAAATATGATGCTTGGGATGCTTGCTGGCATCTGTGATAATTTTGGCCTTATATATATGATTTGTAACATTCAACTTTTCTTCTAATATGTGAGGTTTTCTAGGGTTCTTAATTCAATTACCTTCTTCTGAGCTTTTTACCCTTTGAGGAAAGCTTTTTTTAAACTTAACAATGTGAAAGAGATTATAGCCATAATACACAATACATTTAAATGACAGAACTGTGAAACATGATCCTGTTGAAAGAAAAGCTGAGAAATGATGACAAATTCATTTTACATTTTCTTCTCAGACTCACTGGCATTTGCATTTAGATTCATTAGTGTGCTTTTGATTTGGATACAGAATTTTGAATACACATGATTACACTTCATTGAAGCTTATATTGAGACAGAGAAACTTCAACTAGGAAGAATTATTGTTCCCATTCATCACTCCTTCAGTAATAGGATTATGAATTCACACCTTTCCCTTGTAATTTTGCAGTACCTTGCCACTGTGGGCAGACTGCACTTCCCTACACACCCCCAGTCTTTGAGTCCAACAAGTGTCTTGCTTTGGCCAGATATTTGCAGATATAATGCACACAGAGACATGGAAAGCCTGTGTGTTGTGCCTTTTTTTCTTGTGCCTCAACCACTGCCATGGAAAGAACATTCTGGGCCAGTCCAGTGTTCCCAGGAGGCGCATGACTGATACCTACAGCAGAGACAACTGAGCCTAGTTGACCCTAGATCAAACTTTTCGGTGAATGAGCCTATGAGACTAGCAGAGGCATTCAGCAAAATCTAGACTAAAACAGACTAACCCACTAACTTGTGAGCTAGATGGAATTTTATTGTATGCTACTGAGATTTAGTTTTTCCTTTTTTAAATGTAGAATTATTGTGTGGCCATACCTAATTTATATGGAGAAATATTATAAATAATGCAAATATAGTTTTACAAAATAATTTCTTTCATATGCTCACTGAACCTTATCAAATGTAATGGAATCTAATTTTTTAATAACCATATTATTACACTTTTATTCCCACTTTTTAAAATTTCCATTTCATTATTTAAAAGAGATGATTGCAATCAATTGCAATATATTATATAATCATTAATGGATGTCCATCCACCTTACCTTTATCATTTTGCTGTTGCAGTTCTCCTGGACTCCTGTATGTTCCATGGCAGCACACGTTCTATTATTTTTTTCCACATTAAAAATCAATCAGCTTTATTAACACATCTATTAAGTTCACATATACTCTAAATATATAGATATCACTGTTTGCTCCTTGGTCAAAATCGAGATACAGGCATTTAAGAGGCATTCTTGTTCTTCTGATACCAGGATCTCGGAGGTGGTGGTCAATAGAGAGTTCTATAATTAAATTAACATTCAGTTTGGAGATCGTCTTAATGTCAAGAAAGAGCCTGTGAGAAGCAAAGCCAAACCCAAGACCAGAATGATTTCACAGGTAAAGATACAGCAAACCACTTATAGATTTAGACAGTTTATTTTTTTTCCTTTTTTTTAATATCTTTTGTTTTTTAAGATTTATTTATTTATTTATTTATACAAACACTGGGTACAGTCAGAATCGCGGGAGGGTGAGAGAATTCACCAGAGCCAGAGCGGGAAGCAGAACAGGCAGAAGGACCGAAGGACACTGCTGAGGGGAGCAGCAGGCGCGGCAGGAGAGGTCTGTGTGCCATGTGGGACCCTCGCTGGCGGCTGGGGATCGAACTGGTGCTGCAGAGGCTGCGGGCAGCATCTCAGCCCAGCGTTCAACTGCTGCGCCACCAGGGGAGGCCCTAGACAGTTTATTATTTACCTGGACAAGAAAAGAAGATTAGGCCAAGGGTGCAGTTTCTCTGTGATTCTTGTCTCAAATACCAAAAAAGGATGATACTAAAACAAAAGGTGCTGGATGACTGAATGTGATCTGTTGGACAGACCATTGGTAAGGAACCAGAAATAAAACAACAGTTAAGTGGGTTTATTTTCTGACACAATTCTGAGACAGGGTGGGGTTAAAAACCCCAGACCTTAATAAAACCCAGAGGGCCTCCCTGGTGGCGCAGGGGGTTAAACACTGCACTATGAAGAAATCTACAGCCTCTGCAACATGAGTTCTATCCCCAGCCAGCCAGGAGAGAAACCCATATGGCGAGGCAGACCTCTTCTTTCTTGCCCACTGCTCCTCTCAGCAGTTATTTCAGTCAGTCTGCCTGTTCTGTCCCCTGCTCTGTCTCTGGTGGATCCTCTCACCTCCCTGCATCTCTGGCCTGTACCCCAGCTCTTCTATGCATAAATAAATCAATCTTTAAAAAAAACAAACAAAAACAGAGATCAAGAGAAACTATGACAATCTCCCAGTGGCAAAAAATAAAAGAGTTAAGAAAGAGATGGCTTTGCAGAAGCTCCTTCCTTCCCTCCCTTCCTCTCCTATTCAAAAGGAAACATAAGACCACATGCCAGACTCAAATGAACTGGTGTTGGAACCTTTGTCTGTATGGATATGTGGATGCTAACCACCACAACGTGGTGGAGTGGTTTCCCTTACAGTTAACACCTTAATCTGTTTTTGTTGCAGCTCAAAGTTCACAGACTTTGTGGAAGTGTGATGTGCCTCCAGTCATCTATGCAAAAATAGTAGTGGCCTCCTTTATTTGTTGTCTTAAATGACTACACAGGAAATATACTGATGTCTTTTTTTTTTTCTATTGAAGTAATGTTGCATTCTAACATTATGTTTTGGGTGTGTATCGCTAAAATTTAAATGTGTATCTGCTGCATTAAGTTCACCTCTAATTCCATCCTTTACCATACTGCCATCTTTCATATAGTACACTGAGTAACTGATTTATGGCTCTGAGATAGTGATTGTCTCCCCAGTGATTAAAATTATACAAACTCTTGTGACTCAAGGGTTACTTTATTTTTTAAAAAAGATTTATTTATTTATGCATACAAGAACTGGGTTACAGGCCAGAGGTGTTGGGGGTTGGTGAGAGGATCCACCAGAGACAGGATGGGGAACAGAACAGGCAGATTGACTGAAATACACTGCTGAGGGGAGCAGCGGGCAAGTCAGGAGAGGTCTGCTGTGCCGTATGGGTAGCTCTCTGGCTGGGGATTGAACTCGTGCTGCGGTGGCTGGGGATAGCTTCGTAAGTTGCATCTTCACCCCTTGTGCCACCAAGGAGGCCCCTCAAGGGTTACTTTAAAATGCTGCTGGGTTGCGAAGCTGCCCGCAGCCTCTGCAGTGCCTGTTCCACCAGATGAGGGTCCCACATGGCGTGCAGTCCTCTCCTGCAGCCCGCTGCTCCCTTCAGCAGTGTACTTCGTCAGTCTGCCTGCTCTGCTCTCCGCTCTGACTCTGGTGAATTCTCTCACCCTCCCGTGCTTCTGACTGCACCCAGTGCTTGTATAAATAAATAAATAAATAAATCTTAAAAAAAAAAAATCCTCTTTGGGAAGGAAGAGTAATTTTCTGCTTGAAGCTTAAGTTAAATATGGACTTAGGTTGGACCCTGCCATATGTAACACTATATATTTTCATCCAGAAGCAATTTTCAGAGACTTTGATATTTATAAAGTCATTTCATTTGATATTAGTACTATTTTATTATGACTATGCTACAGAAAAATACTGACAAATAATAGTTTGGAATTTATATTTTAAATAGTATTATGATATGTGGATTACTCGTGACCAAATTTTGCTTCAGAGTATGTGAAAATGTTATCACATTAGATCAGCAAAAATACTCTGTTTGATGGATGCCTGCCATTATAGATTTGTCTAAACATATAGAATGTACAACACCAAGCATGAGCAAGAACGTAAACTGTAGGCTTTGGGTGAGTACGATGTATCAATCGTTGTAACAAATGTGCTACTTTGCTGGGGCATGTTGATAACCGAGAGGCTATGAATGTGTGGGGCAGGGAGTATATGGGAAATCTTTCTACCTTCCTGCCTTTCAATTTGATGTAAACCTAAAATTTCTCTAACAAAATTAAGTCTTGAAAAAGACGAAAGAATTATAGTTTAACCTTAATCTTAGATTTTCTAAAAAGCATTTGCTGCAAAATAACTTTCATTTACTTATTAATATAGAAAAGTATAGATTGGACTATTAATTTTTAATAGCAATCAGCAAATATCTTTTTTTGAACACTGGGATAATTATAACTAATAACTTCATTAAGTTTTTCATGAACATACATCACTTGATTTTTCTAAGAGGTGAAGTAATTAATTCTGTACAGTTTTTGCAAAATGTTTCAGTTCATGAATTTATCAAAATAGCAATTTATATCTCTTTCGCTACCTTCTATAGCACATAGGTAAATGTGAAAATATCCCCAAATATTAGTGCTAACTCTAATGATTTAAAATAGCTATCCTTGAAGAAACTTTGCATAACAAGGTTAAAATTAGAGAATGGTTGATGCAAAGATGCTAAAAATAAAGAGAGAAAAGAGTGTTCCTTAATTATACATTGGTAACAATTTCAACACTTTATATAAAGAAGACTATTTCACAACTTTCCTAGAAATTACACTGGAAAACTCTATTTTTTTTTCTTTCACCTTGAAATAAAACTGTACTCTTCATTTAGGGATCCCCTACCTCCTCAAACTACACTCTTCCATTATAACCTTGTCTTGTGTCTCATGCATTTGTACCTAATATTCTTTGACTCACTGAGGTCAGAGATAAAAATGGTACTGGAATCCAAACATAGCTCTCTGGTTGAGAAAATCATATATTTTAAAATAATCTAAGACAGAGAGTACTCCTTTTGGCATGGCGCACTCGTGTTAATCATGCTCTGGCAGGTCATCAATGAACAGGGTGTTTTCCTGTCCTGCCCCAGTAGGAAATGCTGCTAATGCCAGAGCAAAAAGCTCCCTTAATGTTCATTCATGCATAATTCAACATGTGTCTTCCTTATTTCTGAAGACTGTGTCTATTGTAGCAAAAGAAAAAAAAAACAAACATTGAAACAGAAAATATATGTGATAAGGTAAAATACATCACTCTGCATGAGGAAAGGAAATATTCTTATATATTTTTATTAAAATACTATCAGGAGCACATTCTAATAAAATCCTATGACATGATAATACAGTGAAAATTAAGTCTATTTCCATTACAGATCCACAACACCTCCTTCCTCAAGTAATGCCCATAAGGAGATTTTTGTCTCATTTCTGAAATGTTACTCTATGTGTTTTCATATATATATGTGTATATTTACACACACAAATATGTGTCTTCAAAAGAATATATTCTTTTTTTTTTAAATAATAAATTTTATTTTTATATTCCCCCATACAATTGCAAAAGCCCCATTCTGACCCCAATCCTTCCGTTCCCGCCCCCCACCCCCAAAAAAGTGTCTCTGGTTCATAGTTTTTTGTTGATTTTGATTTTCACTTTCTCAAAAGAATATATTCTAAAGCAAAAGAAGGTATATATTGAGAAATATTTTAAATTAATATATTTTATGCTAGTGTTAATATAGATAATAGTGGACATATTTCCAATACATATATTTAAAATATTTTATAACCATTAGCTAAGCTCTCCTTATAGTCAACTTGCTGAAGAAAATTTAACATTACCTGTAAATTATTTTAATATTTTACCAGATTCCTATAGGAGACCTATTATTCAAATAAGATAGTAACTTGAATAATAATAATGAATAAAGTTAACTGAGTGCTCACTGTGTACCAGACTCAAATAATTTAGCTGTATTAATGTGTTTAATCATGATACAAAAGTCTGCTAATTTTATATCTGAAGAAGCTGAATCACAAAAAGACAGTAAAACTGAAAACTCACACAACATATAAAGAGCAAAGGTTGGATTTCAATCCAGATCATCTGACAAGATTTATATATTCTGCGATATTAACTCTCAACATTTAAATAAGAGCTGTTTTGTTATTAATCTGAAAACATTATCTTTAAACATATCAAAGTTTTTTTAAAGATTTATTTTTATTATTTTATTTTTTTAAGATTTACTTGATTTTTTTAAATTTTATTTTTATATTCCCCATACAATTGCAACCCTGTTATTTTGACCCCTATCTCTCCTTTTTTGCTCCCCCCCCACCACCCATAGTGTGTCTCTGGTTCATAGTTTTTTGTTGATTTTGATTTTCACTTTCTTACAGTTATTCATTTTCCTGGTCCCTTATTTAAGTTTTCTAGATTCCTGCTATGAGTGAGACCATCCGGTATTTTTCTTTTTCTTTCTGGCTTATTTCGCTGAGCATGATCCCTTCCAGCACCATCCATGTTACTGCAAATTGCATGTGTTTATCTTTTTTGAATGCTGAGTAATATTCCATTGTGTATATGTACCACATCTTCTTGATCCAGTCATCTATTTTTGGGCATTTGGGTTGTTTCCATAGCTTAGCTATTGTAAATAATGCTGCTATAAACAT